AGCTTACCCAATTTACCTGTACCGCATGTCTTTGGACTGTGGGGGAAACCGGAGCACCCGAAGAAAACCCACGCCAACACGGGGAGAACATACAAACTCCACACAGAAAAGCCAACTGACCAACCCGAGGCTCAAACCAGCGCCCTTTTTGCTAGGCGATTGTGTTACCCACTGCATCACTGTGACACCCCATTTTATAAACAATTCAATAAATTAATCGTTATTACAATGAAGGCTTGTGTTATTTTACTTTTGATTTTTCAATTACCGTATAGCTGACTACTGCTAGACTCCTCAGAAAACAATAAAACTGTTTTTTTCATTGGTATATTTTTCTTTATTGTATTTATCTATGTTTCTGGATTGTTTATTATAATTTTGCTCTCCTACAGAATAATCCCAATTAAAAGTATAAATTCTTTTCAAATAGAGATATTCAAGTCAATCTGGTAAAATTGTATTCATATCAAATATATCTGGCAGAAAAACAAAATATCGCTATATGTGAGATTTTTCCAAAATCATGCAGATCTACTTTTATATCAAAATAAGAGATTTTGACTCCTGTGGAATAACCAACACAATCTCAATGCAATTTGTGACTTTTTGATTTAGTGGCTAATTCATATGATCTTATTTGTACGATTCAGAACGATTTGCTCCAAGCATTTGTTGTCACGACTCCTTTTTAAAATCATACGACTGAACTCGTAAGAATTCATACAAACAAAGACTGTAGAATACACAAGACATGTCACTTGTATATTTTTGAATGGGGAAAAGTGTAATTTGGTGAATGAAGCCCCGTCTACTAGTACAGAAGCCAATCATCGATCGCTATAGACTGACGATACTCCGGGTGAGATGCTCGGACCAGATGCGAGTTTCTGCAGATTTAGTTTGATTCGAATTTTTAGAAATAAAACTAAAGAGACAGTTGTTGTTTAATTTTAGTGGTGATTCTTAATATGAAGTTTAATCGTAACCTTGGCAAGCTGTTTCAGAGAATTTGATTTTCCCCCATTCAGACAGAATGCGAAAGCATACTGCCCGAGAAGTGTTTCAAAGATGGGCGCCGAGTGAAATGACTTGCATTAAAGAGACTTTGATACCAATTAGCCACTGAACTGACAAAACATAAAAAGTTAACAGATCATTTCTCAAGTCGAATATTTTGTACACTTTAAATTTGCAAGTTTAGACTCAGTAAATATGTTGTTTTTGAAAGAAAGCTGCATTTGCTCCATTAAAATACAATAAAAACAGTAATGTTTCTAAATACTATAACAAAATGAAACCAAATTAATCAATTAAATCATCTGATGTGATTATTCTTAATGCTACTTAATGTTATGGAAACTATGGAACTTTAAAACAATTTAACTATAAAACTAGAAATGTATTTGGGTTGCTTTTAAACAACTTAAAAATTGTTTTTAATTATTATTTTTTGCTGAATTAGGTGGTTAATTTCTTGTTTTTTAGCCGTTACTGTCATGGTCTCAATATATAACCAATTTAACTGTAAGTTATACAACTTATGTCATGCCCCCATAACTCACCACAAAATAATAAATGAAACATTTAAACCTTAAAATTAAATTCAAACATTTATGCAATTATTGTGTTTTCAAGATCAATCTTTACTGTCACATTAAGTTCTACAAACCTAATTTACAAGGAATCCAGCCTGTCTACAGCATGCATATTCTGCTAGGGTTGCAATGGGCAGATTTGTTTTTGTGAGATCATACAAAGAGTCCATTTTACACACAAAGATCACATGAGTGATTAAATCTGAATACCGAGACCCTTTCAAATCGACATGGGCTTGATGCTAATTGACTTCTGAGAACTGGAGATTGCCAGCCTTGAGACGAATGACCATGAAGTATTTAAATGCTGCAGGAATTTATGAAGAAGTCCTTCAGCTCAAAGAAGGCGCCATCACGTCCTTTTGTTATCTCAGGCTTCAATTTTAGGGTCACATTGCAGGAATAGTGAGCACGTTATCCGGCTGCTGGGTGAGGAGAGCTAGCACCCTGGCGGAGCGAGGTGTGATCTCAGCATGGGACTGGACAAGAGCACAGTTTGGTCAGCCACACCAGACCACAGCGGAGAAACGGGGGGCTGAGACGCGTCATTCACTGAGATACTGAGCGTTTCTAACACACAACAGCTGCAGGACACAAAGACGCCTACTTCATTTCACAACCAAAGGGGGTTTGCAAAAAAAAAAAAAAGTATGGCATATGATATGTACTTTGATACTTATCGTATCGTTTATCATGTGCCCCCCGCTTTCTAGTTGTAAATTACAGAAATGTATACAAGTGGCAAGGACAGACATTTTTAAAGGGATAGCTTACCCAAAAAATGTAATTACCACATGATTTACTGAGCCACAACTTATCCAAGGTTTATACAACTTATATTCTTTTAGATTAATACAATGGAGTAGCTGCATCTCTAAAAGCTTTATAATGTCAAGGAATGACATTTCTGAAAATTTCAAAGCCCCAAAAAGGGTGAGTAAGTGATCAAAAGCAATGCATTTGTAAAAGAAAAAAATACCTTTGTTGATCTTGCTTCATGTCAAATGAAGGAAACACTTTGAACAGAACATATTATATAAAATGGGATTCAAATTGTGACTGGGCATATAAAGGGCATTATTAGTTTTTGTCTGAAAGACCTAGTCGTCAAAAGCTGATAATGTATGGCTAAAGTGAAAAATAAAATATGAAAAAGCCTCAAAAATGCAGAATGCTAGAGCAATTGCTTCAAATGGGGAGCAAAATATCAACTGGATGTACAGTGCATCCGGAAAGTATTAATAGCGCTTCACTTTTTGTATGTTACATCCTTATTTCAAAATAAATTGAATTTGGTGGATGTCCCAGCCAGAGTCCAGACCTGAATCCTATTAAACATCTCTGGAGAGATCTAAATGACTAACCGCCACTTCCCATTCAACCTGATAGAGCTTGAGAGGAATGGGCAAAAATTCCTAAAGACAGGTGTGCCAAGCTTGTGGCATTATATTAAAAAAATATTTGAGGCTGAAATCACTGCCAAAGATGCATCAACAAAGTATTAAGCAAAGGCTGATGTGAAAATTTATGTAAATGTGATTTTTCAGGTTTTTTATGTTTAATAAATTTGCAACAGTTTTAAAAAATCTAAAAAAAAAATTCACATTGTCATTATGGGGTATTGTGTGTCGAATTCTGAGAAAACAAATTAATTTAATCCATTTTGGATTATATAAAAAAGTGAATCACTGTGAATACTTTCCAAATGCACTGTATGCATTCATCTTTTAGGCAGCATTATGGGCTGTAACTTTACCAAACAGTAGTAAACCATATTAGATCACATATTTAAATCAGAAGTTTGCATTTCAAACAGGCAAATATATGACATATATTAAAATAATCCTCATAGGATTACAAGCTGCTTTGTTAAAGCCGTGGGACATCAGGGATTCAATTAAGTTGCAAAGATGATGATGAAGATGATGATGGGTTTTTTTCATAATCTGAAATTGCTATAATACTCAACACAATTTAAACAGAATCTCAAGTGTAGCGGGTGGGAATAGCAGGTATGTAGACAATGAGTACAGATCAATGATATAAAGGAACATGTTTTTACAAAAGGTGGAATAAAAACAGAGGTTCAAATTGTCACTTATGAAAATTCCATTATTCGTTTTTGGCTGAAAGATGTAGTCGTCACATGTGTGTAAAGCCCTCAAAATACATTGAGACAGCATGTTTCATGAAAGCCCTTCAATTGGATTAATCGCTCAGATTGACATCTCTTACAGTTACCATTCATGATTGTATAAAAGACTACAACTGGATGATCAACAATCATTAACCACCTCAATTCTTTATGTTATACGATGACACTTTTCACTCACAAAGATATCTTTCCACACCAATTTCTTTCTATTTTTTAATCTTGTCAATGCCGTACTGCTCTTATATAGCCATCAACCTCTGCCTGTTAGCAAATCAGCATGAAAGGTATCTGACTTTGCCATTTAGCCCAGATGTCTTAAAGCTTGCAAGAAGAAAGGGAATTGTTTCCATACTCATAGCTTAACTTAAAACTAAGATATCATTATGTTCGCTCTGATAAGACCAGCAACTGTTTCCAAAGATAAGGCTCATAGAGGCATTCTGGAAAACTGCTTACGTTAATTTGTTTTTTTTTTTCTTACTGGTACTTATGTATCATGGCACAAAACCATGCAGGCAGTTCCAACAACACACATATTCATCCCAGGAGACTGTGTCTTTCAGCACTGCAGCTGCAGAGTAGGACCGCTAAAGAAAAAGTGCTGCAGTTTCTCTGTTTTAAGCATTACTGCCAAGACTAAACACACTAAACTGACATGAACAGTTAAAGACATTGTATATCAAGCTCACTGTACGAGCAGCTGAAACAGGGACGTGTACTGTATACACCACTCTCACAGAGTTTAGACACACAGCTGAAAACTGGCGGAACAAGGCAGCATAAGAGATCTCTCACACCTCATTATATAATCTATTTAATTAGATCATCAAGACTATATTGACTTTGGGAAGTTTTCTGTTTCATATTAGAGAAATGTCACTTGATTTTAGTTGCTTTCCTTGAGAAGTGCTTCCATTAAATATGATAGAAATACTTGTTTTGAATCTTAAAAATATGATCTGATGGTAGATTAAAATGATGCCAACCCCTTACAATGATTAACCAATGTCTTATTGTTATAAAAGTGTAGTAAACATTTTTATTTTTTTATTTATTTTTTGGTGTACTGATAACCATTTGGTTTACTGATAACCAGAGTTTTGCTACTATGGTCAAACTAGAGCAGATAGTAAATCCATGGTTTATTTCAGAATGAAACAACATAAAATTCAAATTTAGATATCCAGAAGCGCTATAAAGTAATTCAGAACAGACGAACAGATTAAGTCAGGCTATGAAAACAGCTTTACCTTTAAGCTCAGGGCAATCTGACGAATGTATATCATATTGAGATCCTCCAAAATGCGAAGTTTCTCCTCCATGTCTGCGAGTCTGTCTATGGGCATCCTTCACCAGATATATCAGTTGCTGATTTAAAGTTTAGTCTCCCACTGCTCCTCAGACTATTAATCTGTCTAGCGAGTTGAGAAACATTATCGGAAGAAGTTGACGAGTAAATGAATCACACGATCCAAGCGCATACAAATCCAAGAAAATCAGTTTTCACATCACAGACCACTTCCACATGTCCGAAAACAACAGTCCACGAAGAACACGTTTATAACAACAAATCTAAATGAAGACAACGAAAAAGAAAGACAGAGGAGTGTGAAAAAGCTCTGTCCGCAAACTCCTCCAGCTGCTGTACAAGAGTGCAGCGCGCGCGCACGTCTGATCTGCCTTCACAACAATAGCGAGTGACTCCAGTAAATGAACGCGCTCAGACGAACGGAGTTTCTTGACACCCTCAAATCCAGCTCTCGTTATCCTGTCAATATAATGGGCCGTTTACGCACGTCGCTCTGCTGCGCTAATGTGAGTGTGTGTCTGTGTGCTCCGGCTGGACTTTACCCACGAAAGGGCATCAGAGCCCGCGTGGACTGTATTTTTCTGCCTCATTCACGATTCAGCTCACACAACACTATACAGCTCAACTACAACCACCGCCGACAGAAACTACACGCCCTCCATAAACAAACACATCGACACTGTTCTAAAGGACATTCTCGCTGTTCTAAAGGATGATGACTGCTCCATAAATAAATAAATATATATATATATATATATATATATATATATATATATATATATATATATATATATATATATATACACTGTAAAAAATTGCTGTTAAAAAACGGTCAGATTCTACGGTAAAATAATGTTTTTTCACTAAAACAGTAAAATTCTGTTAAAAACAGTGCTTTCTGGGTAACATTTTTGTTTTCGAGAAAGTAACCAACTGCAGAAAACTGTGAGCTAACAGAGTTCAGATTCGATGTTTTGAAGTCTGTGTTTGAAATCACACTTTGTGTCCTTGTTCACTATTTCATACACTAGTTAACTAATATAGTTCACCTGACAGAGTTAATGAACACTAATGAGTGAATTCAGACACTGATGAACACCTGCTGTTAATAATCACAATTACTGAAGGAAAGAGAAACAAGAAACACAAACAACACTTGAGTTACAACATTAAATAAAATAAAATAAAATAAAACAGCTTCAGTCTCAGCAGAGGATCATTAAACAACTCCACAAACAACAGCAGACACACTTATTACTGACTGATTTGACTTCCATACTATTCTCATTGAGATCCAACAGAAATTAAGGTGTTTTTTGTGTCACCGTAATGGAGTGAGGGGCTGATTTAGTTGGGCTCCTCACCCTTGGTCTCATTTAATAAGACTTTCCAACTGCTGTAATACAGAGTTTACAAAACGTTTATACTACAGCAATAAAGTTGGGAAGTCAATAAATAAAGAAATCTGTTTGTCTGAAATTAGTTCTGATAAATGTTTTGTTATAAATCTGGAAGAAGGGCATCATGCAATAGATTTTATGCTTAGTTGCAGGTATTAATTTAATTAATGAGAAGTGGAAACAGAAAAGATACCTCCATAATTACTTAGCAGTTAAGAAATAACATACAAAAACAGTTCAGTTATGACAAATACACACTCAGACCTCATGAATCTGACCTTGTATCTCAACAATGGTAACAATTCAAATGTTTCATGCTGCAATGCATGCTGGTAGTGGCACGGTACAAATATCCCAGCATGCATTGCGGTATAAATAAATGTTGTATAATGGTCTAACAGTTTTCTTTATTTGTGTTTGATTCTGCTGTTGTTTATGTTTAGACTTTCAGTTGCCTGTTTGTGAGTTAAACTGTTAATTTTGTTAAATTTTGTTAAATTTGTTGTCACCATTATTGAGGTTCATATGCTGATTATTGATGTCTCTTTGAGTGCGATTTACACCATAGAGCAGTGTTATTGTCCAAGATATTCTTAAAAACTTCCAGAAATCGTTGCCATATATAGACATATAATGTAAAACAATAGATTTAACATTGAATAGGAGCAGTACATTTTATTATACTAAATGAGAACAGACTCTGCCATTTAATAGCAACATGAACATCACCAGATCTTATTTAGGTTTTTGGCTGGCTTGCCTCAACAAAAGAGCTTTTTAAACAAAGTTCTTAACAATTGCAGCAGCCATGATATATAAATGTTAAAAATGACAGGGCTAAGAGCCCAACTAAAGCAAACTCTGTTCTCCATGATGGTGACGTAAAACTTTAACTTTTTCTCAAGAAGAACTTTAGTAAATGTTATACAAAAATACATGTATTAAGTAATAAGTGTAGCTGGTGATGATGTTTGTAGAGTTGTTTAATCATCCGCTAATCATTTAAATGATTTAATCAGTTGTTGTTCTTCAGGTTATTTCATTATAAAGCTGTGACTAAAGTTTTGTATGTTCTGTTCTTGTTTTTTCCCTTCAGTATTTCTTCATTTGTTCATTGTTAATCCTCAATTATCATTTAATTAGTCAGTTAATTAATGAATTTACTTCAGCTTTGCTACATGTTTCTTGAACACTCAGTAGTGTGGACACTTCAGTTAAAACTGAAGTATATGCTCTGGGGTTTAAAGGGTTAAAGGTGTGAGAGGTAAAAACACAGTGTAAAAATGTATTTTAACAGTAATATACTGTTAATTTACACTACAGAAGTAGACTGTAAAAAAACAGTAGATTGCTGGCAACCACAGCTGCCAGTAGATTACTGTTAAATCAAGGAAAAAACAGTATTTTACTGTAAAACCTGAAGCTAATTTCTTCTGTCTGTCACCGTTGTGGAGGAGAGTAGAGCCAGTGTATGAGTTAAAGATGAACAATGAACTGCTGATGTTATTCTGCATGTTTCTTTATTTAAAGATAGCGGCTGTTTAGTTGCTGATGCAGTCAGAATCTCTCTGGTGATTCCAGATTTACATGTATGTGTGCTGTTGTGAAAAATAAGACATTAGAGTTAAACCGAACTTTTCTAATTAACTAAAATAAGTTATCATTATAAGTATGCTTCTAAGCATATATAGCACATTACTTCATAAACTCATTCAGCAGTTGACCAAGTTGAGGCAGTTGCTTTCAGTGAGCAAAATGAGTTCCCTTGAGTATTGTGTAAATCAATGTAGTCCATGTATTTTTACAGCAACATACTGTAAAATAACAGTACATTGCTGGCAACTGCAGCTGCCAGTATTTTACTGTTTTTTAACGGGACAATTTTTAACAGTGTATATACTCCAGTATGATTGGTTATTTACACGTTACATATTAACGTTTATAATTAAACAATTAAAACTGTTGTACATTCATATAAATTATGGCATACTAATATATTATCATCATCATCATCATCATTGACGTCTTGACCGCCTAAATTGACAGACATTTTAGTCCAATAGTACAGTGAGTATATAATGCATTTATTTAAATATTGTTTTAATCTGGATTTAAAAATTTTATGAATGCATGAATGAAAATGAATAAATAATATAGGAACTGTCTTTATGTTAATATTAGTATAATGTGCCCTATTTCTTCAAGTGTAATATTGGCAGTAATATTTGTGTAAATATCAGCCTCTTTCTCCGTTGTTAGGTTGAACAACCAATTCTCATGATTAAGTATTACCTGCCAAAGATATCGGCTGTTTATTAGTACTTGTAAAGTACATATTCTGCATGTTCTTATGCACATCCCTGACCCTTTCCAATACCCAAACCCCAAAACTACCTTAATAACTTGTGTTAAGCATCACATTAGGACTTTGTTGAGCTAAAAGTCAACTGTTTCGTTTGTAGAGAATTATACCCTACAGTAAAGTATGACTTTTTTGTAATAATTAAACACGTTTTATATCTTTTGTTTTCTTTGTAATAGTATATGTCAAAATTCTCATGACTAAAATGTCATGACTATACCATATTTTTTGCTAAATTCCCCAAACTAAGCCTTTTGACTGCTCAATGAAAATTAGTCTGCATGCTGCCTCAGCTGGAATAGACGAACATTAACTATAGGAAACAAAGGCTCCATCTGTCCTCTACAATGAGAACAGTGCTCTCAGTAACTGCAGTCTCCATAAAACTTACTTTCCACATAATGATGGCATCCAGCTTCATAAATCTAAGACAGTTAGTCATCTCGATTGTCGTGCAGCGTAGTATCGACCATTTCACCAGTCAGGTAATAATTTATTCTAGGAGATATACATTTTATTTTCCATAGAGAGTCACTAGTATTGAAATATATATTTCATAAAGTGGCTTCTGCGTGTTAGCAGGGTATCAATCTTTAATCTATGCTAAATTATTTAAAATGCCACAGTTCAATTTGAGAGTGCCCAAAAGATTTCTCTCCTTCAAGCGAGTAGTTCAAATCAATGAATCGGAGTAAACAGGATGTTTATTATTGATATTGTGTTCAATTACTTGACAGTTTGTGTTTGGATATGGCTAACATTTACAGAGATATACCCACATCTGTCTCCTTTTGAATTTTTACAAGCAACATATCCAGTTTCTTTTCACATGAGCCGTTCTCTTTTATGATTCAGGATCATATCAATTTTAGATTGGCCATCAGTTTCTTTCACACAGAGCAAACCGAAGTTATTGATTCATGGAAAGAGAATGCTCTTTAGTTGTACAATGGCAAATTTTCAGAGACCACCTCAAAGTTATTATCAGTATTCTAGACTTTGAGTAAAATGTTTTTGTATTTGCATTTTCAAAACTACAGATGTTCCTTCAAAATGTAAAAAAAAAAGTGTTGAAACGTTCATTTGCAGCAAAAAAGTGACAGACTTAAATTTTTGTGAAAAATTATGTTTTTGCTGCTTGTTTAAACTACTTATTTTTAATAAGCTGAAAGAGCACAGTTCTTGAGTTTTTTTAAGGGAAAACTAATTGTTTTAAGTTCAATCAATTTAAAATTGTAAAAACCATTAAGTTAACTTAATCGATTTGCATTGAAACAAGATGAACAGATTGTGTGAAAGCCAGCATTGTTTTACAGTGTGTTTATTTATACTTTATTATTATTATTATACTTATTATTATTATTATTATTATTATATTTAAGGTCTGAAAACATGGATTTAATTATATGGACTCTATATCATTTTTTGGACATAAATAGTCCAAATGCTAAATTCTTATCAGAAATTCTGAAGACAGTTCCGATAAGGGTTAAATGTGGTCTTTTGATTTTTTTTCAGAGCTGTTTATGCTTCATAAGCTACATTTACATGACTCTGATAAGTTCATTCATTCATTCACTTTCCAAAACCAGAGCACCCGGAGGAAACCCACGCAAACGCAGGGAGAACATGCAAAGTCCACACACAAACGCCAACTGAGCCGAGAATCGAACCACCAACCTTCTTGCTGTGAGGCAACAGCACTACCTACTGCGCCACTGCTTCGCCCGCTCTGATAAGTCCCTACAGTAAATTATAAATGAAAGACTATTCAATTAACAATGAGTAATATTATATTAAACTTGGCTGATCAAAGAACATACAACAAAAAAACAAAGGCATGTGAG